AAACCGGCTTGGACTTCCTACTCATTTCTGTGTCTCTTTAAGATGGGGGTCTGATACAAATTAGCCACTGGGAAAAAAGTCATCTGGTCATAAAATACAGTACAGGGTCACTTTTATGTAAGTTTGCCAAAAGGGACATAAACCAGGACAATTTCAAACTGTGACACAGGATAGAAGTATATTAAAAAAATCTTTGTTCCTCCTCCATTGTGCTGTCATGTTGCTCAGCTTTATAGACATTCTGAGCACCAGCTCTGGCCTCTTCGCTTCCACCTGGTCTACCTAATTAATTAAGCAAGGAAGTTACCTCAAATTTTTGTACTATTTGTTTTTATTAKCATGCACTTCTTTTGATGTTCCAGGAGTTAACCTCTTAATCCACAGACTCTGTGTGTTGTGTTCTGAACRTTTTGGGATGTCTGGATAATTTGGATAATTGGTCAGGATGTTGCTGTCGCTCATGTTAAACTTTATGCTATGACTTCAAGTTCAAAGATCAGTATTAAGGTAAAATACTTCATAAAGCCTTTTTAAAACTCTACACTTGTGATTATGCAATACCTAGTTTTTCCAGTTTCTCACAGTGGTAAATTGCACTCTTTGTATTTTCTTAMAAGGAAATTACCCTAAACATCTTTCTCTTTGTCAACTTCAAATAAATACAAATTTTCATTGCAGTTACTTCAAGAGAAAGCATATTTTAAAAGCCAAGAAAAGGTATGGCAATTATCTCCTCAAAAGTATTTGCCTCTTTCACACAGCAGCACATATGTAATTTTCTGTGCAGTCTGTTACCATGCACTGTGACTTACAGATCCTCAGCTGCAAATAGCAGTTTTTCTTTTTGGAGAGAATGATAAAGAATGAGGTTAATTCTGACATTAAGAAACATGGTTGACAACTTTGTTTCATAACCACTATAGAATCTGAGCATATTAGTGACAAAGAATTAAAAGATTATCTAAACACACGTATGCACAGACTCTACAAAGGAAGACAAGAAGAACAGGGAAAGATGTAAAACAGTTTTTAATACTGATGCAAGAGATTAAAGTGATATCTGGTACTCCAAAGCTCTGTTAACAGCACTGGCTGAAGTGCAGTGTATAACAATGGTTACTTCAAAGTCCTGAAAAATTCAATTMACATGTGTGCACAGAAATACATGTGTGCATAAACACACACAGGGCCTATACACAGACATACATATATRTGSATATGTRTACTATATAACTCCAGTATTGGTTGTATTATTATTATTACAACCCTGACATCAAAATTCTTCAAGTGCCATTAAACRGAAATGAACAAGAGCAAAAAGCAGCACTTAAACTCTTTAAAAATACCATGATCAACCCTTTTAGGCCCAAAATGACCTTTTTGAATTCACATATCAAATTTTAATGAAAAGCTAGGCAAAGAATCAGCCTGAATTCCAGTGCAGCACTGCATCCATCCATGGCCAGTGCCTCATTTCCGTTATTTCTTTCCTCTGCACAATATGCAAGTCTTTGGTTGTTTTAARCTGCTGCCCTGGGGAATCCAAGTGAGTCTGTAAGAGGGGCCATGTGCCATTTAGCAGCCAGGGAAAAGAGTCATAGTAAACTGGAAGATGGTTAATCAAACCCATTCTGGCTCAGTACAGTTAAGGGAGCAATCCTACCATTYAGGAACATGGAAAGTAAAGTTATACAAAGCTCGTAACAGTAACCTATGAGCCATTTAAAGTATGAGAGCTTGCAAAAAGTCACATTACACTCAATACACAAAATCAACTTTTACAGCACAGTTTGTGATAAACAAACAGATGGCTAAAATCTTCAGGAGTTAGACACATATGTGATAATGACTAAAATTACTGTTGCTCTTTAATCTGAACAAAGACATCCATTAAAAATTWAAAAATCATTTCAATTTCAGGAATGGAACTCTTTTCATTATGCATTTTCAGAACTTTTATTAAAGTCCAACAAGTAATTCATATATGAACATGTTCAAATAGACATCCTCACTCTACACATCTATCCCAAGTGACCTATTCAAGATGATCTGCATAAAAGCTTCCACTGGAACAGTCTTCCTATCCAAATTTTGATCTGACTCGGTATCTAGAATMAAATGCCTTCCCAAACTGAAAGATTAAAGATTACATAACCATGCCAAACCTCCTTACTGAATGTTTTCTCTTAAAAGCTCCAAGTTTTGCTAAATGTATGAAGTGTTCTTTTAAATAGAGGTCACTAAAATCTGATTTTTCCAGTGAACAGTAATAGCATTTGAACGATGTTTCATCTCTCTGGTCCATTAGTCTGATGGGATGAATGACAAAATAAGACTTTCTAAAAAAATTAAAATAATTTTTTAACTATAATTTATTCAAATGCCAGAATTCTACAAAGTAATCATGGTCTCAAAATCGCCTCAGAAAAGAGGTAAGAAACATGACAAGAATCTACAGAAAGTAAAAACTGATGGGAAACACCCTTCCTTCACAGATGCTAAAACTGAAAAGCTTAGATGAAATCCTGCATTTGATTAATCATGGATTTTCCCAGATTCTAATCAACCAATTACGTGATGTAATTCTTTAAACATATAGCAATTATGACAATATCATTTATCCACATCTGTATCTGAACAGAACAGCACATTTAATTTTAACTATCAACTTAGGCCAGAAGTGCCATCTGCCACTTATTTTCCAAGAAAAGCAATCAAAGACAAGGTATGTTCATATCACAACTGACCACAATTCCTGAATCTTCACCAGCAGCTTCAAGGCTCACACAAAACAGGCAAAATAATTCCATCCATTTTGGATACTTTTAAATAGAGCAGKGAAGTAGAACAGACATTGCCTTTGAGTATTTGTACCAGGAACCACACTTGGCTTCTGGGATGTTCCAAAAACATCCAGAATTAAAAGTTTAAAAAAAAATTTCCAAAATGGAATTCCTTCCCCTCCAATAAGTGGGTTTTGATACTAAAATCTCATCTCATTTGCCCCCCATGAAAAAGCAAAACTACTCTAAAGCACTAACAATCATCTTTTCCCTAGCATTCTGCAGAAGACTATAGTTCTGTCTTMACCATCTCATATCACAATTGCTTTCAAGCATAAATGTGTAATGGTGATATTATTTATCTTGAATGGGACTTATAGACAGCCACTACCCTRAGTTACACTTTAACTACTAAAAGTTTCATGTAAAGTGCAAGTTTCATGTAGCTGGAATACACAAAGTATGTGTTGGACCCAACAGAACTCTACAAGCAAAGTACCTTACCCAGTATGCTAATGAAGAGAATCCTTGGTTTTGCTGGATTGCAGGACACAAAGCTCACTGAAATCAGTTAATTTAGTTTTTAGAAGAAAAGATAAATATTAGCTATGAGTAAATACTTAAGTGTCAGAAGGAAAATGGAGTGGCCTTCACATGAAAACTGTAAGGACAAATGGAGTTGCTAAAAGCTCTCTGCCCTGTAAATACCTTAAGTGAAGGAAGAAGGAAGTGTTTTYCAGCCAAGATGGACAAGTAGAGTTAAACACAGCAGCCTATCAGCAAACTCCTTGGAAGCTGAATGCATTGGTTTGGTCACTTGAACTCATAACTGAAGTGAGCTGGATACTTCTGCAGTTCGGTCAATGCACAGCAACACTGCAGCAGCATCAGTTCAGCACAGGCAACACCAGACAAATTTACACACCACCTGGGCCAGGCTCTGCAGTCGTTTTCTGACACAGCTATATTGCTGTAATCCCCCAGTACCTTCTGCTATGGAATATATTCTCTGTTTCTCCACATTATTCTCTGTAAATTAAAATTTTCCTTCACACAATAATTCTTAAGTTGTTTTTTGTTTTGTTTTGCTGTCCTGTTTTCACTCTTAAGAGAACACTAAAATCCCAACTTGAATGAGTCACTTCAGTTGAGTTTTCCCTAATCCTACCAAGAACCAAAATGGCAACTTCATTGTCCCCATGCCAGTTCCTGTCAATGCAACCAGGAATGATGCTTTCCCTTCAAACACAATCATCCCCTTGTGGCTTTACATTACATGGCATGCATCAATGACTCATAGTCTTTTGCACCCATCTTTAATTCATTTCGTTCTCCAGATTTCAAGATCACTTTCCAATACTTTYTGCTTTCTGACAACTGTCATCCAAAGGGAGCAGAATTCCCTCAAGTGTAGTATCATTAAAAACAAAAGTGTAATCATTTGGATGATAAAGATTAATGGAAACGTGCTACAATTGGTCCCCAGACGATCAWTCCAGTTTAATCTAGTTGATACTTACGATTTGAAATTAATTTTGACATGCATCCCATTATAGTAATTTTTCATTGTATTTCTTTAATTCAYATATTAACACAATCGTTATTATCTTATTGTTCAAAAACTGCTTTGCCAGATTCCCRGCTTCACTGAAATACTTGGTCCTCTCAACCTGAAAATTCAGCTCAGCATTCAGCTAAGCTGAATTATTTTAAAACCATTTCAAATTATTYTAAGATGTTTTCTTGACACATTATTGTTAACACTGAACACATTTGAACCTTTTTTGGGATCTTCAAAATTCACAAACCAAGCTTGTTTGCTTAGGGTCATCTGTTATTTAATCACCCTTCCCATTAGGAAAAAACCTGTCCTTCTTTTCCTATTATTTTATTTCTAGTGCTTTCGTTGAACCTTCTCTCCTTTTAACACCCCAATGAAATTCTTTTCCAAAAAATAAAATTTTGATTGAATCATTTCATTAAAAAAAAATTTAAAAGATTATGTTTTTTATCTYAGTGCATGTGGGTTTTAAGGAGTCCTTTTTCCCCCAAATACCTGGCCTGTGTCAGAGTGTGCAGCTGCATATACACCCTCATGTAACCACTCACATTCCCAGACCAAATCCTCCCCAATCTACAATTTTAGTTTCATCAGAAACAAGAGCTGCAAATGACATATRCAGTGCAATTAGTCTGTATTTGATAGTGTTTTCCTACCTTTTTTAAGCCAGCAAAACCTTCTGATTCCAGGAAGAAAAACGCAAAGGGCATCAACACAAACAAACATAGATTTGAAAAAAGAGAAGCAAGATTCCACAAACCTGCAACAAACAAGAAAAAGTTTACATGATAAATTTCTAAGCTTTAACAAGTAAAGATGACATTTTCCTCCCTTACATTGAACAATGCAATATATGTACAAGAGCCAGGGGTTTAGTCATTTACAGGTCATTGCTGAAAAATACCCATTTCTCTGAGTAATGATGTTCAAATAAAAACTGGATACCAACTTACCCAGCAGCAAATGTGTGAAACCTTGGGAGCTCCTGAAAAGGTGAAACCCCTGCAAGCTCAGGTGGACTACTTCCACAATACCCCATTGAAGGTTTTTAGAGAACCACTGTAGAAGTTTTCAGGACTTTACTACACTCAGTTAATCTCACAAAATCCAGCTCTGTATACTACCTACCTCCCATATTTTTTTCAAGAGAAACTTCAGCAAACCATGGATTTTAACACGAGCAGTAAACAAATGCCATCATGGCCTCCAAATCACAAGATATCACGGTAACAGCAGCCATCCAAAATGGGATAACTGGCTCAGTTGGCAAGAGGAGAGCAGTAGATATTTATCTCAACTTYGCAAGGCTTCCCACATCATCTCCCATGAAGCCCCTCATAGTCTAATTAATGAGGGGTGGGCAAGGTAAGCAGACTGAAACAGACTGAACTCTGGCTGAGCCTCTTGGCTCCCAGGGTTGTGACCAGCAGGACAAAGCCAGGCTGGAAGCCACTCACCAGCTATCTACACCCCAAGGGGTTGCTGGTGGGTTAAACACCTTCATTAATGACCTGGGCGATGGGAAAGGCCACATCCTCAGCAAATCTGCTCAAGAGAYAGGATGAGGAGGAGCAGTGTCCTGCAACTCTGATGAACCTCAACAGGCCAAACAAATGGACAGAGAATAGAGAAGAGAGGACTTAGGAGGATTTTTTGCATGTATATAAATATCTGAAGAGGGAGGGAGAAAGGAAAACAGTCAAATCTTCACAGTGGTATCCACTGAACTGAGGAGAGGCAATGAGCGTAATTGGAAAACTGGAAGATCTACTTACTCATAAAAGGAAAGGAAAAAACCCAAACAAAAAAATCCCAAACATTTTTCACTGTCACTGCACTCAAGCAGTGCAACAGGTTGCCCACAGGTTTTGTAATGTCCATCCTTCAACATACTCAAATCTAAAATTGGAGTGCCTTGAGCAGCCTTCTCTGACTGACCCYGTTCGGAGAAGGTTATTTCCAGAAGTCCTTTCAACCTCAGTCACTCTGTGATCTATGTGAAAAATCAACAACTGACTACAACAAGGACATCTGTAAGACACATGTGACATCTGCAGGAAGAAAAAGGATTTAGAAAACTACCTGAAKTGATTGCTAATCTCCATTAGGGTATCTGCTTTATTAAGATTTTCTAAGCTGAATATTTTCTGAACCGGTTTCTGGTGCCTAAACATGAATCCATCATCAATCATCCTATCAGTAGTTGTGCAGGATGCRACATTTCTTCTTTATAAAAGCAGAAGCTTATCTGCAATTCAGTAGCCAACAGGTCTAACTACTATCACATGTTCTGCATCCTAAAAAAAATAGTCTGTAGAGAAAAACAGGCTTAGTTTCCCACCCTCCCCAAAGCACACACATTTACACAATTCTGCAGAACTATGTTATATTACATGAATATCACTCAAAAAAAAATACCCTATGATAAGAAAATTTGAACTAAGAGCTTTGTTTCCTTCTTGTCATGTAGAGGCTTGTTYCTTTTCTTAAATATTGTCCATTTTGGAAAGAAAAGGAAAGTAAAGAGATATTTACTGGATGTCTAGGGCATTCATTATCAAGACACATTTCTGTAGTTAGATCCAAATGCAAAATAGTTAGCAGTGATCTTTGCCTATACACCCTCAAAAAATCCTTCTACCATATACTCCCTTTTTCCTTAAATGATAGGATTCAAACTTAAAGGAGAAATAAAAGCTAGAGGGGAGGAGGGGACAGGGGGCCAAGAGAACATCAATTAACAGCAGCAGGACACCAGCAACCAAACTTAACCAAATAGACTACAGAAAACAACACAAGAAAATTCCAGAAGATGCGTGAAATATAACACTCATTTGCTAAAGAAAACAGACCGCCTAAAGGTGGCTAAACTCCACTTAACAAAGAGGGGGATTTTTCCTTTTGAATTTGCTTTGCCAGGAAGCTCCTGTTACCATTCGAGAAACATTCAGGCATAGCAACATCAGCAAGAATGTCATTAACAGYCCTTATGAGGGGACATTAACTCGAGCAGTAAGCCTTTTTTTTTTCCCAAAAAGAGGAAAGACACCAGAGGAAGAGTAGAAATACAGCTAGATGGGGGTAGGAGTCTTATTTCAGCAGTTTTCTCTAACTGAAGACAGAGTGCATTCAGTTATCTAATGCAGAGTTGAATACCTGCTTGTCCCAATTTCAGCAGCTCTATTACACATGTATCTTACAACATAAAACAATGCTTAGGAACAGCAGAGTACATAAAGCATTTTAAGGAATGAAAGGGTGGTGCACATCCAGGATGATTTTTTTAAAAGTTAGAATCCAGAAATTAATATATTAGTAACATMCAGAAATCACATTTACAGAGCTACAATATGCACATACAGTTAGGAGAGGCAAGGCCAGTGCTGTTCTGCTGCTGACAGACACGTGCACATTCCTCAAAGTAAGGGTCCTCTGTATTTCTTACCCTAATTTGGTAGTTCAGAAATCAAATTTAAATAGACCCAGAAAAAAGAATTATTTTCTACCACACTGACTGCATAAAAAAATTGCATAAGGCACTTGCAGAACATCAACATAAAGAAAAGCTTTAAGCAGYCAATTAGATTTTTTTCCTTTGCCTTTGTAGTGACCTAAGACTGTCCCCCATAAAACAAGTTAATAAAACATAAAAATTAAAAATTTCTCAGTCTTTGGCAAACAGATTAGCCCCTGAGCAATTTCCCATTTTTCTTATTCACRGCAGTTTCATTACCTTTTACCCCCACCTGGTGGTTGTACTAAACAGCAGCACAAGGGAGCACCGTTGTCAGAACTGGTTCTGGGATTAGTTCAGCACGTTTAATTAGGTAAGAGTGTTTATACTGGATCCAGGTTTGGCCTTTCTGCCTAGTTTCCAAAATTGGAGGCATATATTTTCTGCTTTTTTATTTGCTAAAAGTAATGCAACAACCTATAGCATAAAACTCCTCGGAGTCAGGTTCAAGTACCTCAAATTATAGCTGTATACCGAAAAAAATGTGTTGCTTTAAAGCAACACAAACGCTTCCATTTGATAACATTTGCAAAGCAGTACACAAACCACAGGTGAAGGCTGTGCTAGGCAGAGCATTAGGGGGATGTGAGCTTTTCTGAGTGTTTGTGAGCTCCCACAGCCGCGCAGCTTTGCCGCGCTCACTGTGCCGGGTCCCGGCGGGAACGGAGCGGGATTCCCGGAGCGGGGCGATCCCGGGCAGTGCCACGCGGGGGAGCCCCTGCCCCAGGGATCGGCCCTGGCGGCCAAAGCCCGGCCCAGCCCGAGCCGAAAGCTCCCGGGGCTCCCGGAGCGCTCGCACCGCCTSAACTCACCCAAGGGTTACTGCGGTCACACCCCCCCTTTGCCATACACACACCTGGAAACACCGACGTGCCGAATTTACCACCTCCTTGATAACTACTACAAAATATAAATTATACTGTGTATCCATAAAGTGATGCTTTCAAACATTAAATCAAAAGACTGTCACTGGCAATTTCAAAGCTTTCCTATTTAACGGCAACTATTCCAGCAGATTTCTTACTAACACAAATTATCTGAAATAACAATTGACAGAGTAAAAATTTCTGAAGAGGTTATTATGTAATTTTCAGCATCTGACGTATTTTTAGTCCTTTTTCCGAAGACAATTCAAACGCAAAAGGAAGGATTATTTTCCATTACTTTTTTCATGTTTGGCAGTAAAGAATATAAATGTCAGAGCAGTTACATCCACGTGAAAAATGAGACTTTACTTGAGTTTTTCCTCCCATGGACAACACATACCAACTTGGCAATACCCCACAAAGTGTCACAAAACAGATCATAGAATAACTCAACTAGAAAGAACCTGTAAAGTCACACAGCCTGATCTGCCCTTAAAACAGACAAACTGCAGGTGCCATCAGGCTGCCCAGGGTTTTGAATTTTGGAAAACTTTCAAGGTCTCCTAGTGTCTCTGGACAACCTTTTCCAATGCTCAACCACCCCCACAGAAGAATTATCCCTTTATGTCCTACAAACATCACTTCTTGCCTCTCACCTCACAAAAAACAAAACAAAACAAACAAAACAAAAAAAAAAAAAAAAAAAAAAAAAAAAAAAAAAAAAAAACCACATCGCTGCAAGTTAGGGACCTGGAGATTCTTGACTTTGCTACATGCGAGTATTATTACACATTTAGCAAAAAGCATACACTTTCCAGAGAAAAATCCTCCAAAGCCAAATTACTATCTCTTCACAAGACTAAAAAGGACATCAGTTACACTGTAAAATTATCTGTACCAGATTTAGCAAGTCATTTGACATAGTGAACATACTTTCTTCCAGACTAACCTAGCAAATCTTTACCACAATATTTATGTTCCATAATTTTCCTTGTTTACAAACAGATCACTAATAGCTGAATTTAACTATCTAGTCCGAACTGCCCATAGCTAGCAAGTTTCTAAAAACATGTTTTCATTTTGAGAATAAATTTATAAGAATCATCAAAAAAGAAAGGTATATGAATATTGCATCAACATGAGGAAGAAGTCTGAGCAGCATGTTACAAGTTAGCTTCTAGTAGCTCTTATTTACATTAATATTGAAAGCAGTGAATTTGGTTTAATTCCATCAAGTCTGCATAATCCTTAAAAAAAACCCAGAACACTTAAGACAGACTTTTGTGCTATCTCACACAGCAGCAAAACCAACTAGCCAACAGCACATTAACAATTAGCATATTAAATGAAAATGAGTTATGAGTTTGAAAATCAGAACTTATCTGTGCACGTATAATGAAGACATCCATTTTAATTACATTATGCTGAGTACTAACCATGAATTAGTGAGCCATTTAACCACTGAATATAGTAGTTTTGTGGAAAAGAAAGCAGGATCTCATTGCTGATTATTGAGAAAGGTAGAAGCAGGACTGCACCAGCTGAAACTGCTAGAGTGAAGGTGCTCAAGAACAGCCTGAAATTTAAAGAAATGTACCACTGTTACCAACAWGCTCTGAACAGCAGGGAACAAAGTAATTAAACTACCTGTTAATCAGTGTCTAAAGGCAACACATTCTTACATTGTAAATGSGCAGGGGAAACTGTGATTTCCACAACATTTGACTTCCGAAAAGCAAATTTAAAATAGTTTACAGAACCCAATAAAACTATTTCGTTTTTACCAACTACCATAATTATTCTCTTGGCACATGCATTCAATTMCAATGTAATACAAAGGTTAAACTTTCATTAAATATCTTTCCACAAGTCTCCTCTTCCAGTTTTAATTTCTCAGATAGACACAGATAGACACATACACGAGAAAAAAAGATTCAATTTTTATACTGTTAGTACAATTTTTAAAAGCAGAGCAACCTTCTAACAACTAAAGAGTCAGTAAAATTATACATAAATATTTTAACACCAAACTGAAAAAAATGGTTTTATTCACAGTTATTTGGGTTATCATCTCATACCTGTAAAGTCAATAGACAGAAATTGTCAGAAATATTTAAAATATTTAAGCTTATTCTTTTAAGATCCCAAATACAACTTGTACCAAATGCCATCTTGTGGCATTAAGAAGAACTGTGTTCTTAAATAAGATCAACAAAACATTCTTACAGAACTAATCTAATGCTATAAAAAATTAGAAATAACTCTCAAAATTGCATGACAAAAAAAAATAGATCGAATATTCCTACAAGGAATAAGTAAGCTGCTTACAGAAATTTTGCTTTTCCTCAACAGTCTACAAAGTCATTTTTCATTCACACAATAAACTTAAAGAAAGAAAGAGTGACTGATTTTATCTTTGAAAATATTCTTAAGTTATTGTTGTTGGCTTCCGAGAGTTTTTTCTTTTCTTTAAGGATGTTTAAATATTCTAAGCCAGAATTGTGAAACCTAACTAACAACAGCAAAATGCTACAGCAGTTTGGCTTTGTCTTCTCCTCCCTCCACATCTCACGGCTTGATAATTATGCCATTTGAAGAAAAAGCTATCTACCTATGTTTGAGAGTTACTGCTTTTAGGAAAAAACCATGCACACGTAAAGAAGCTTAGGCTGAAAGAAAAGAACATTTTATATTTACAACAACACTTTTCTACAAGGTCTCCTTCCAAGGGGATGACAGCATCACCAAGGAAGAGTCAAGAACCCTGTAACACACAAGGRACCAATTCACAGAGTTCAGCCAATCATGTAATCGAGAGGGCAGCAACAGCCCATGGAGGTTCTGTACACCCTGAGGCATATTCAAACAGGAGATACTAACATGTCGATTTATAAAGAAATAGGATGAGGAGAGACTTGCTAGCAGGCCAGTGATCTGGCAAGTGCTTGTCTTCCTCTTATCACCTTTCTGAAGCTCTTTTACAATGATCAGACAAAGGTGTCTTCTTCAGAGGGAGCTAACTTTCTTCCCAGGATCCACTGCCTCACGTGACAGGGCTTCCATTGACTGCTGTGGGATTTACAGCACCTCCCATCTAAACATCTAGATTTAGAGACCTAAATGCAGGTCTTACACTCAATTCCACCTCTTGCATCAGGTCCTCATGCAATATTCTGGCCAACATCATGCATCAGGTGAAAAAGGCCCTAGACCAAACTTTTGTAACATTTTTCAAAACACAACCAAGTCTTTTGCCCTGGCTGTCCAGCACTCTATTTGCTGTCACATTTRAAATAGACTTTTGCTTGTTTGGGASTATAGAAGATTCCTATCATAACAATATATTCCAAAAAAGAAGTTCAGCCAAGAAGAGCTATACATACGATATTCTGTTAACGATGGCATCTTCATCCTCTTGCTCATCTGAAAATTAAATTACAGCAGGTTATATTCAATAGTCACAATATCTTTCCTCAGGCTAAAAGGTATATACATAGGAATAACATTAATAATTTTAATTTTTAATTTAATATTATTAAATAATTTTAATTRTAATCAGACATACCGATACTGATGAATTTATCAGCATCAATATTTTAAGAAGGTTCCTTCCAAAAATTAATACTTGCCTCTTTTTTTTTTTAGGCTAGTGAAACTCTTCTCAATCAATGTAACAACAGAAGTTATTTCATTCTACTTAAATATGCAGATCAAAACTTCGTGGAGACATCTTCCAGAGGGCTCTATGGCAAACATGCTTTCAAATTCCTACAGCCATGGCTGCTGCTAGAAACTTCCTTTGGCTTCTCTGGAAACACAGAGAGCAGGCAAGCTACAGGATATTCTCAGAGTCCATACTAACTTCTGTTAGAAATCATTTCAGTATTAATGTCTTTTTAAAACAAGAAAGCATATCCAGAACAACAGTGATGACTGCTCAGTAGCTTCCCTTTACCTACCCCTCTTCCCATCTCCTGAGGATCTGAGGAAGGGGAGGTAGGAGCAGAGGTGTTACTCCCACTACTTGTTTTGGATTTAAGATAACACGACTCCCTTCTCATATTTCACATTTTAAACCATTTTTATTTCACTTATTCCCCACTGAATACMTCACTAAAATAGTTTTGAAACAGTATCAACATTTAACTCAGAGATGAATCACTAATGTRTATTTCATTTCTTCTTTACAGCCTTCTCTATGCACATCAGTAAGCATTGTAATGTAAGCATTTCTAAATTTGAAATAATGTAAGCATTTTGAAATAATGTAACCATTCTGAAATAAAAACTTCTGAATTTGAAATAATTTTACACTCAGCATTCTAAAGTTTCTCCTATTTTCCACAGGAGATAAAACACCTGACATTAGATTTTAAAATAAATTTAAGTTCTTAAGAGTCCATCCACACAGTTGAAATAAACACATAGCCAATAACATCATGCTATTTTGAAATTCTTCTGTGAAAAGACATGGAGTTGTTTTTTTTGATGGAAACCTCATGATGTTTTGAAAGCCTAAGTCAAGGTCTCTTATGAATCATTTTGGCTGAAGAGCTTCTTTGGAGAAGCARTGAACAATTTGTCCTGAAAGAGTTCCAGATGTGTTAACTCTTCAAACATCTCTCATCAAGAAGATYGTAGCCTAACTATGTGCTCACAATGCTTTCATAAGGTCAGGACAGCTGCAGAGCAGTTCCTCTCCCGAGCTGAGGAGATCAACTGCCAAAAAAAGGTAATAAAAGTGTCTTTGCATCCACWATGTTTGCCAAACCAGTTTCCCCTTCCTGCTCTTTTCCATCTCCAAATGGCAGCAGCTTTGAAGTATCCAAAATATCTTCAGGRTCAGAAATAGTATTTGTCTTACTTCCTATGTTTAAAAGGATGTACCTTTCTTTTAAAGAATTAAATTCTACAAAATGTTTACTTCTAAAAACATGAATCCATTTACAAAAGCAGCTCTATTATAATACAGGTCACTACAGCTCAATAAAAGTTTCCAATAAAGTTCAAAGAACCAAGATCACCATAAACGAGAATGTTCCTATATCCTGACTATTATCAAGCACCAAGGTCCCAGATAAGCTGTCARGAGTCAAAAATTCTGCCATTTTATACAGAGTTTGATGCTATTTGTCTTTAGAAAAAATATAGAAGAAAATGACAGGGCTTCCTATAGTTTCAGAACGGAAATTAGGCAATGTTTCTAAAGGGAAAAAAAATACAGTACTGTCTCAAGGTATTATCTAAACTTCAGTGGTAAAGTCATAAGAAACAGGTTAAGACCACTGAAATAACTGTACCTGGGTAGAGCAAGACTTTTAAAAACAATAGCACTTCCATCCTCTAGTACTAGCAACCTTTGACTTCACCAGCAAAAGACCTGAACCTGATTTTGCTGCTAAAACACAGCTGAAGATACTTATTCAGGAAAAGCAGATGTGAAAGGAAAACAGGATCTAAAGGCAAGAGAGGCAGAAGCATCTACTTGACATTAACTCCTTTCCTCCCTCCCACTCAGGGACACTCAGCAGAACAGGGTCACAACAGAAGAAGCTCACACTCAGGCTTGTCACAAGGCCACAACAGAAGAGGGGGCTGTGGCCYTCAGTAGCAGAGTGACAGTGTCAGCACTCCCTGATCCTTTCCCAAGATGCTCCAGCGCACTCCTGCCTTGGCTGGTGATATCAGCAGGCACCATGAAGGGCCTGAGAGGTGCCAGAGYAGGCACAAGGGACGTTCTGAGAACTCATGGCTCAGAGACAAAGGGAGCAGAGAGAGGACAAGACAGCAGTGTACAGAATCAGGTCAGTCCAGGCTGCCACATACCAGCAGCCTAACAAACAGTTTTGCTTCTTCCACTCTCCTTGTGGAGATGGAGAGGAAAAGAAACATCTATTTATTTGAAAACAATTTTTTTTGATAAATTAAAAATTCTATGCTTACCTGCTTTCCTTTTGTATCTTGTGATTATAAAATAAGAAACAATGTAGAGAACAGCAAACAGGAGAAAACAGATCTGGAAAAAAAAATTGCATTTATTAGCTCATGAGCTCATGGTGAAATACCTGGATTATAAGAAACAGTAAATCTAGTCTCAACAATTTAAACTTTAATTCAGATCAATAACAGTGTATTCTATGTAAATTTTAAGACTTATGTTTTATATCTTATTAACAGAAAGTTAAATCCATAAGAACAGTTAGGCTAGAGAAACAGGTATTGCATCAATTACATGGACAGCAAGTTYTACTCCAAAATTAAGAAAGAAGTCYTATCTACAGTGTGATTTTTTTGTTTGAGGAAGGGGTGAGTGGAGTGGGCTGTTTTTTGAAGTTTGAATCCACTTGAGTTGCAAAAGTTATCAGGCCTTATATCCCCTTCACGTTTAACCTAAGTTTAATTGTATTTTATATAATGAGCTCTCGAGGATCTATTTTAGACTAAGCTATCAACACACTTAGAAAAAAAAACATGTTTACTACTTGTGTTATGTCTCAAACAAACAAATTCCAGGTGACAACACACACAAGAGAGGCTCATGTGCCTACAGTGCATGTCCAAGCATGAGCTCATCAAGCATGTTATTTCCTTTACAGTCAGAAGCCAAGGGCACAACTTCCCTTCTCATACGGTTGGTGRTTTATTTAGGCCAGATGTACCTTCAGCCCAGAGTGACTTGGATAAAGCTGTTTACAAGATTTAGCACTAGAATTTCCATACAGTAAGACAAGATTAAAACACAAAAATGTTGGAAATCTTAGAGGAAAGGGATTGAACAGCAGAAAAGTTTTAACCCTCCAAGCCTTTGTAGGGTAAAAAAAAAAAACCCACAAAAAATCCCTACATATTTTACTTGCTCCTGAAGGAGGCATCAGTGGCTCAACTCTGCTTCCTTAATCCTGGGTGGTGATGCCTATTAAGAACGTGAGTGAGTCAGAAATGTGACAAGGAGGCATGCCATTCTGTGCTGCAAAACTACTTCACTGGGTAACARCTGATCTATTTCCGTAATCAGTCACTTGTAGATTTGTTGCCTTTAAGAACTCACTGTTCTTAAGAGTGAAAAAGCTACCCTGAGAGAAAGGGAAAAGTGAAAGYGAAGGTAGTGATGATAACTCTGATAAATCTGCATCTAAATAMTAATATTGGATCTAAATCAGCAAATCACAGTGTTGAAGAATRTATTATTCATGAAAGACAGACTTTCTAAGAAATACTGATAAATACAAACTCAGAGGATTATTTTTCTGTTGCAGTCAGACATTTTAGATTTAAAAAATAACAAGTGTCTGAGCATGCGATTCAGGTGCTTACGACTTCCAGGTGTCTCCCAGAAGTACAAGAGTGCGGTAAGTCTCAAAGTGGCAACCCAACAGTAGCAACACCCAAAATACAGCCACTGAAAATTACRTTTCATAACCAGATCTCTGAATTCCAATCTTTAATCTGAATAGAGCTTACTACTCAAACTTTCCTGAGGAAAAGGTTTTGATAAAGAATTCAGTCCTTTAAATAAATAATTCTAATTATAAATAATGTTATTAAGATTTAATTTTAAAAGTTGGTATATTTTTTAATCCAGAGGAACAAAAGAAACTGAGAACWGCCTTGGGTTTTCAGAGTACTCTGACACAGCTCGTCCTGTCACTGTCAGAAAACGCATTGCCAGTGCTGAAAGAGAATCCTTCTCTGAGCTTCCAGTTCCTCTGAAAACTAGACCAAGGTTACAGCCAGACACATCTAATTTTAGACATCCACTTTTGAAAATCAGGTATCACATATACACGGTAAGTGAATTCTTGAAATATCTGTCAGATGCAAATAACATGGTATAACCCATGTAAAATATAAAAAAAAAAAGCTCATTTTTGGTTTAATTTTATTAAATTATAAAAATTATAAAAATCTGTCAGATGCAAATAACATGGTATAATCCATGTAAAAGAAAAATACAGTTGAGCTCATTTTTTGTTTAATTTTATTTAAAACAAGAATAAAAATTACTGCAATCTTGTTTACAYCTTCAAACAGATGACCTCTATTCTATCTGTGATAGCAAGGTTACAAATAAATATGGGTCTGTACTTACAAGGTACCAGTGAGATAACTAAGATATTTTAAGGGCACGGCAGATGAAAGCTGTCCAGTAAACAAACTGTCAAATGCTTTCTTTCTGGTTTTAGGTAACAGCTACTCTGCAACCCAGCAATAAAGGGCAACTCTACAATTTGGTAGAATTCTACCTCTACTTCTGTCAGATTTGAGAATCAAACTTCATAAATGCTTGATAAACTTGCTTATTACTGAAAATTCACAAAATCTTGAAATGATTTCTTGCCAAGAAAATAAGTACATGCTACTAAGTGAAAGCTTTATGATCTTAAAAAAAAAGTTAAATTACTTCATACAATTAMTTCCTTCATATTGACCAAAACAAGTCAAACAGCAAACTCAGAAATATTACTGCAGTCTCAATTTACACTCAGTGAAACCTCTGATCCTGWACTGTTTCTAGCCATGCATTCTGAATAGCTGTCTAAAGGAAACAGCTCAAGTCAGCATCCTACCTATTTTTAGAGGGGAACTTAGTTAAGCTGGGGAAAAGGAATGTGTTGCCTGTGATAGCCAAAGAATAGGTTCCACTGCCCTGTCACACTGCAATCCTGGGTTCTTATTCTCCATACTCCTGTTTGTTTCAGGACATGTTTGCATTAGAAAAAGAAAATATGAGCTTTGTTAGTATTTGCTGTAGTTTCACTTTATGCTTCTCAAGTATAAAGTGGGCTTGTGTGCAGCATACCAGGTACAATCTCACAGCTGTATGTAGCAGCACTAAGCTCTTCTTGCTGCACTGAAAATGCTTCTCCACGCTCACCTGAGAATTATACTGGTAATTCAGCATTACCCTCTGGTCACTGAATCCATCAGCACTGCCCTCCCCAATTGCTTACAACTGAGTAGTTCTCAAGTTTCAGTAGAAACTTGGTTTTAGGGTTCAAGTTTGTCACCATGTCTTTTTCTTTTCTTTTAAACCACACCTCAATGTCACTCTACATACAATCATCTGTCAATTCTATTTCTAATCACTTACTAAAAAGCACAGGTAGTCATACTGAAATAGGGCACTACTCACAAAAAACACCATACACAAAACTACATTGATATATTCAGTTTTAAAAAAATAATTAAAAGAGCCTGTATTCTGCAAATTTCATCTTTCTTTTTGAAAACTACTGTATGTGTCATTGGAGGCAACAATGGAATACAATGTTGAATCCAAATTATATTGCAAGTTATTTCCAACCAAAAAGCAGTGGTTTATGCCATCACCCAYCTCTACAATAACAGCTGACAAAAATTAAGGATGCTGGAAATACAGAAAAACTAGGACAAGCTGTATTCCTCAGATACCCAAGTTCTCTGCAAGGAGTTTTTCACTGGAGTTCAAATGAAGCTTCTCTAGGTTTGACTTATAGAAGTCAAGACACTGTGCAGAGATGTACCCAACTGTGATGAGTAGGGATTTCTGATGTTCCCCACTTCACAAGAAATAATACCTTTCAAACTTAAATTTTATTTCCTTAAATTCATTCCAAATTTGAGGGTAAGTAGTTGTGGATCTGTTGCCACAGTTAGATCAGGAAGCTACTTTAAACATATCCATAGCACATTCTGACCTTACAGAGGAAATACACTCAGTCCATGTTTGACCAAATGGATCAAAATATAAAGGATATCATGAGGGGCCCAAGATTTGACTATATTATAGCCAAACAGTCAACCAAAGCAATTCTTAGTAATTTTTAATGTTTTTGTGTGTGTGTCTCCTCCACACCACTCAGTAATTGAAAACAAGGCATATGGATTCTGCACCTCATCCAGGGGCTCCTTTTTAAGAGGTGGCACATTAAGAAGTCTTCAAACCTCAAGCATATAATTCATTCACGTCTTCCCATGGACTAAGTAAAACCTCTGACAGGACAAGCAAAAGAAACCTGTCTTCCCCTGGAGCCCTTAATCTTCATTTGGGAAAGGAAGTGCCCTATTGCTCCTGCTTAGATTACACACCRGACACACCAGAAGAGGCTGCTTCTGGAGACACACAGCACTACATTCTTAGGTACCTTGTACGCAGCTCTTCCACAGAGTCATGCATTTGGATCTCTCATCCAAAGTCATTCAAGTATGATCCATATCACACTTTTGGATCTGTACCACAAGCTCTCAGTTCCTCTGAGAATGAAGCTGGAGATCACCAGCATGCCATGTTCCTCTAAGGGGCCAGCATTGAAGGGTCTGGCATTAAASACAAGCAGAACTAAACTAGGTCAGAACTAGGTCAAATTACATTGTACTTATTCCACTGATAATTACTAAAGATCAGCTGACACTAATTTGTCCGTGTGGATGATCTTTAAAACTCCGGCACTGAAATTCGTGCCTCAGATTGGTAAAGTGTCATCTTCTGATGCAAGCGTTAGAGCTACACTTTCATGATAAGAAAGACTATGCTCAAAATGTGAAAGTTGCTCTTTTTCTCCTCTTACAAACAAGATTCAACCATCTTTTACAACTGCAATTTGTGTGCGTGCAAATTAAAAGCTCCATTTTTACACACAAGATTYTATTTACAGAGCATGAAATTATTCCCAAATGTTGTGGGGAAGCKACAGCTGTAGATTACACAAGGAAGAAAGCATGCAGGTGCCTTGTCCAGTAATGGTTCAATAGTTTTCAGCCAGTGTGCCCTGATAGCACACACCTTAAACAGCATCCCAGGCTGCATTACCTGATGCGAAGCCAATAATCATAGGAAGTAATTATCTCTCTCCAAGCAGCATTCATCCTGTCACGTGTAGTTACTGTATCTAGTTTTGAGCCACCAGCACAGGAAAGATGTTGGTAATTGCAGAAAGGATGATCAAGAGATAAGGACAAGATGGTCAGGAGGTTGGAACACTGGCCTGGTGCAGACAGCTGAAGGACCTCAGTGTGCTCAGCCTGGGAACAACAAGG